GGTAGAGGAGACTAGAGGGCATGTGGGGCCCATCTCACAGCAAATGAGACCGGACATGGATGTGTCCCTATTTAAGGTCGTATTCTGTGGCAGTGGAGGCCACAAACAAATCTTCCATTGTGACTGACATTGCGACTGCAAGGAACCGTCCAGCTGAGCTGTTTCGAGTGGTCAGAAGGTTATTAAATCCTCTTTCACAAGACCTTTCGGCAGCTCGATGTGAAACATTTGCTCGGTTCTTTGCGGATAAAGTCGCTCTGATCCGTTTTGACTTGGACCCTATGTTTACTAAAGATGTAAAGATCCTTGGAGAGGCGAGGGCGACCACACGCATCCTGGACCGCTTGCCATCCTGGCTGGTAAAGCAGGCCAGAGGAGGTTTGGCAGAGTGGGTAGAAGTGGTGGTTAAGGCCTCCCTTCAAGAAGGCCAAATTCCAGCCATCTTAAAAGAAGCTGTTTTAAAACCGCTGTGGAAAAAACCATCACTGGACGCCACTCCATTGAACAACTTGCGACCAGTTTCCAATCTTCCCTTTTTGGGCAAAGTCTTGGAACGTGTGGCCACCTCGCAACTCCAGGTGTTCTTGGATGACACTGATTATCTGGATCTGTTGCAGTCTGGTTTCAGAATGGGTCATGGAACTGAGGTGGGCTTGGGGCCACTGTCCTGCAGTGGCTGTGGTGCTTCTTGGAGAATTGCTCTTAGAAGGTGGTGGTGTTGTACACTTGCTTGGCCCCGCAGCCATTTTCCTGAGGGGTCCCACAGGGATCATTTACTGTCTCCCATGTTGTTTATCATCCACATGAAGCCGTTCATACCTTCTCCCAGTCAGGGACACCAAGTTTACAGGAGGTAAAATAGATACAGCTTTTATTTTATTTTTTTACAAAAAAAAAAAGCTGTATCTGTGTGGAGAGCAGAGAGGGTGCATGCATGACAAGAGAAAGGGGGAGGTGTGTGCCGCCTCGCTTTCTCTACCTCTTGCCGTGCACGCAAACTTCTCTGCTCTCCACACAGCAACTCAGCTGGGTTGCTGTGTGAAGAGCAGAGAGGGTGCATGCAAGATAAGGGGGGAGGTGTGTGCCGCTCAAAGAGGCTGCGCCTCCCTTTCTCTTCCTCTTGCTGTGAAAGCTAACCTCTTTGCTCTCCGCTGAGAGCAGAGAGAGCCCATGCATGGCAAGAGAAGGGCAAGAGAAGGGTGCATGTGCCTCTCTTTCTTTTCCTTGCACTTTGCACGCACCCTCTCTGTTCTCCACACAGCAAACCTGCTGAAGGTGCATGCACAGTGATAGGAGGGGGAAAGAGGTGTGCTCCTCCCTCCCTGTTATTGCCATGTGCATGCACACCTCAATTTCTCCTTCTTTTGCCACACCCATGGTAACTTTTCCAAGGCAGCTTTTATACTATGTGGGGGTGACATGAAAAATACACATTAAAGGAGCAGCAGTGTTAGTAATTGTCTGTAAAGGCACTGAGCGTGTGGCAAGAGGTGAGGGTCCCGGCGGAAAGGCAGGAAATTAATGAAGGGCTTTTTTTCAGCCCCACACCTTCCCACCAGGATCCTCACCTGAGTATAAGCTGAGGGAAAATATTACACCCTAAAAAAGGGCTGAAACACTTGGCTTATACTCGAGTATGTACAGTATGATTTTTTTTAAAGGTGGCATGACAATCGTATTTAACCCTCTGAAGGATTGTCACAAGGAGCTTGCTTTCTGCTGCTCCAAGAACAGGACCCCAATTTAGGGATTTAAATGACAAGAAAGGGGATACTACCAAATGTAAGAGATGTAGTAGCCATGGGCGATTTCAACTATCCTGATATTTGCTGGAAAACAAACTCGGCCAAGAGTACAAAGTCCAACAAATTCCTCGCTTGCCTTGCAGACAATTTCATAGTCCAGAAGGTAGAAGAGGCAACAAGGGGGTTGGCTACCCTTGATCTCATCCTAACAAATGCGGAGGACCTGATCGATGTGGTTGAAGTGGTCGGATCCTTAGGGGCAAGTGACCATGTGCTCCTGCAATTTGAGGTACAAAGGAAGGCCAAAACTAAGACAAGTCAAACCTGCATTTTGGACTTTTAGAAGAACTGATTTCCGAAAAATGAAGGAAACACTGAGCAGCATTCCGTGGACACAGATACTAAAAGACAAGGGAGTTACGGATGGATGGGAATTTCTCAAGAGTGAAATACTCAAGGCGCAATTGCAAACCGTGCCAACAAAGAGAAAAAAATAGGACAAGTGCAAAGAAGCCAGAATGGATGTCCAAAGAACTTCTAGCTGTGCTAAAACACAAAAGAGACATGCACAAGAAGTGGAAAAAGGGAGAAATCACCAAAGAAGAATTCAAACAAATAGCCAACACCTGTAGGAAAAAGGTCCGCAAGGCCAAAGCACAAAACGAGTTCAGGCTTGCCAGTGACATTAAAAGCAATAAAAAGGGCTTCTTTTCTTATGTCAGTAGAAAAAGGAAAAACAAGGAGGTGATAGGGCCTCTTCGAGGAGAAGATGGGGCAATGCTGACAGGGGATAGGGAAAACGCAGAACTACTTAATGCCTTCTTTGCCTCGGTCTTCTCACAAAAAGAAAGTCATCTTCAACCTCAGCAAGATGGAGTGGATGAGGGATTAGAGGACATCCAACCCCAAATTGGGAAACAAGTCGTCCAGGAATACCTGGCCGCTCTAAATGAGTTCAAGTCCCCAGGGCCAGATCAACTACACCCAAGAGTATTGAAGGAACTAGCGGAAGTCATTTCGGAACCATTGGCAATCATCTTTGAGAGTTCTTGGAGAACGGGAGAAGTTCCAGCAGATTGGAGGAGGGCCAATGTGGTCCCAATCTTCAAGAAGGGAAAAAGGATGACCCAAACAACTACCGTCCGGTCAGCCTCACTTCGATACCAGGCAAGATTCTGGAAAAGATTGTTAAGGAAGTGGTCTGCAAACACTTAGAAACAAATGCGGTCATCGCTAATAGTCAACATGGATTTATCAAAAACAAGTCATGCCAGACTAATCTGATCTCTTTTTTCGATAGAGTTACAAGCTGGGTAGATGCGGGGAATGCCGTGGATGTAGCGTACCTGGATTTCTGTAAGGCCTTCGACAAGGTCCCCCATGACCTTCTGGCAAGGAAACTAGTCCAATGTGGGCTAGGCAAAACTACGGTGAGGTGGATCTGTAATTGGTTAAATGGACGAACCCAGAGGGTGATTCTCCCCAATGCTTCCTCTTCGTCCTGGAAAGAAGTGACAAGTGGAGTGCCGCAGGGTTCTGTCCTGGGCCCGGTCCTGTTCAACATCTTTATTAATTACTTAGATGAAGGGCTAGAAGGCAGGATCATCAAGTTTGCAGACGACACCAAATTGGGAGGGAGAGCCAATACTCCAGAGGACAGGAGCAGGATTCAAAACGATCTTGACAGATGAGAGAGATGGGCCAAAACTAACAAAATGAAGTTCAACAGGGACAAATGCAAGATACTCCACTTAGGCAGAAAAAATGAAATGCAAAGATACAGAATGGAGGACGCCTGGCTCGAGAGCAGTACATGTGAAAAAGATCTTGGAGTCCTTGTGGATAGGAAGTTAAACATGAGCCAACAATGTGATGTGGCGGCAAAAAAAGCCAATGGGATTTTGGCCTGCATCAATAGGAGCATAGTGTCTAGATCTAGGGAAGTCATGCTACCCCTCTATTCTGCTTTGGTTAGACCACACCTGGAATATTGTGTCCAATTCTGGCCACCACAATTGAAGAGAGATATTGACAAGCTGGAATGTGTCCAGAGGAGGGCGACTAAAATGATCAAGGGTCTGGAGAACAAGCCCTATGAGGAGCGGCTTAAGGAGCTGGGCATGTTTAGCCTGAAGAAGAGAAGGCTGAGACAGATAGCCATGTATAAATATGTGAGAGGAAGCCACAGGGAGGAGGGAGCAAGCTTGTTTTCTGCTTCCCTGGAGACTGGGACGTGAAACAATGGCTTCAAACTACAAGAAAGGAGATTCCATCTGAACATGAGGAAGAACTTCCTGACTGTGAGAGCCGTTCAGCAGTGGAACTCTCTGCCCCAGAGTGTGGTGGAGTCTCCTTCTTTGGAAGCTTTTAAACAGAGGCTGGATGGCCATCTGTCAGGGGTGATTTGAATGCAATATTCCTGCTTCTTGGCAGGGGGTTGGACTGGATGGCCCATGAGGTCTCTTCCTCTTTGATTCTATGATTCTATTCTATGAAATCTTAGGCAGAACTTCTCAAAGGGTTGTGTTTGAAATCAGATGTTTACTCACAAAGGCTGACCAAGGGAAAGACAGTCCTGTCCCACAGTGATGCCAGTGTCCAGAGAAGCATATGCATTCTCCGAAACAGTCCAAAGTCAAACAAAGCCAAACAAGTCAAGCCAAACCCTACTTGAAGCCAAGAGAATCACACGTCTTAATTGGGAAATGTTTAATGTATAGCTGACAGCACCAGAATGTCCAGATCCCACCATTTCCCTTTTGCAACCAACACATTTTATTTGTTTTGTTCCAGCTCTTTGAATGATATCTCTCCTATATATAGTCTCTGATGTGTCAAAAGGTATGAACCCCGCCTGGCATTTCTTTGTTTTTCATCCTGTGTGAATTAGGGGGTGCTTTGTAAGGTCAGTAAAAGTGTCAGGAAAACATTTCCCACAACCCATACATCTGTGTGGCTTTTCTCCTGTGTGAACTCTCTTGAGGCTCACAAGGGCTGAATTTCGAACAAAACATTTCCCACACTCCTGGCATTTGTACAGCTTCTCTCCTGTGTGAAGTCTTTTATGCTTCACAAAGCCTGAGCTGTAACCAAAACATTTCCCACAATATGGGCATCTGTATGTTTTTTCTCCTGTATGAATTCTCTGGTGGCTCCCAAGGGATGAATTCTGAGTAAAACACTGTCCACAATCCTGGCATTTGTACAGTTTCTTTCCTGTATGAATGCTCTGGTATTTCAGAAGAGATGACTTCCAAGGAAAACACTTTTCACACTCCTGCATGATTCTCTCCTGTGCAAAACTCTTTGTGCTTCATCAAATATGAAATGCAAACAAAATATTTCCCACACTACTGGCACTGGTATGGTTTCTCTCCAGTGTGACGACATTTGTGCCTCACAAAATTTGAACTCTGAGCAAAATACTTCCCACACTGCTGGCATTGGTATGGCTTTTCTCCTGTGTGGAGTCTTTTGTGGCTCCCCAAGGCTGAACTGCAAGCAAAACATTTCCCACACTCCTGGCATTGGTATGGCTTCTCTCCTGTGTGGAGTCTTTTGTGCTTCATCAAGGCTGAACTGTGTGCAAAACATTTCCCACACTCCTGGCATAGGTATGGCTTCTCTCCCGTGTGGAGTCTTTTGTGGCTCACCAAGGCTGAACTCTGAGAAAAACATTTTTCACACTCCTGGCATTGGTATGGCTTCTCTCCTGTGTGGAGTCTTTTGTGCGTCACCAAGTTTGAACTCTGAGCAAAACATTTCCCACACTCTTGGCATTGGTATGGCTTCTCTCCTGTGTGGAGTCTTTTGTGGCTCAACAAATGTGAACTGCGAGCAAAACATTTTCCACATTCCTTGCATTGGTATGGCTTCTCACTTGTGTGTAGTCTTTTATGGCTCACAAATTCTGAACTACGAGCAAAACATTTCCCACACTCCTTGCATTTGTATGGCTTCTCTCCTGTGTGGAGTCTTTTGTGCCTCACCAAGTGTGAACCAAGAGCAAAACATTTCCCACATTCCTGGCATTGGTATGACTTCTTTCCTGTGTGGAGCCTTTTGTGCTTCACCAAGTCTGAACTGTCAGCAAAACATTTCCCACATTCCTGGCATTGGTATGGCTTCTCTCCTGTGTGGACTCTTTTATGCTTCACCAAGTGTGAACTTTGAGCAAAACATTTCCCACACTCCTGGCATAGGTATGGCTTCTCTCCTGTGTGTAGCCTTTTATGACTCACCAATTCTGTACTACGAGCAAAACATTTCCCACATTCCTTGCATTGGTATGACTTCTCTCCTGTGTGGAGGTTTTTGTGCCTCACTAAGACTGAACTGTCAGCAAAACATTTCCCACATTCCTGGCATTGGTATGGCTTCTCTCCTGTGTGGAGTCTTTTGTGCCTCATCAAGTATGAACTGTCAGCAAAACATTTCCCACAATCCTGGCATTGGTATGGCTTCTCTCCTGTGTGGAGTCTTTTGTGCTTCATCAGGTATGAACTCCGAGCAAAACATTTCCCACATTCCTGGCATTGGTACGGCTTCTCTCCAGTGTGAACTCTCTCGTGGCTCACCAATTGTGAATGGTCAGCAAAACATTTCCCACATTCCTGGCAATGGTATGGCTTCTCTCCTTTGTGGACTCTTTTGTGCTTCATCAAGTCTGAACTCTGAGCAAAACCTTTCCCACACTCCTGGCAATTGCATGGCTTCTCTCCTGTGTGGAGTCTTTTGTGCCTCTCCAAGTTTGAACTCTGAGCAAAACATTTCCCACATTCCTTGCATTGGTATGTTTTCTTTTTTGTATGGCCCCTGGTGTCTCCCAAATGCTTCCTGTGTTTGGTGCATACATTGCTCTTTTCCCAGTTATCTGCTGTGAAGAAGGACAGAAACAACCATTCTTTAGTGTGAGTGATCAGGACTCTAGGGAAATGGTATAAGAAAGAGATTGAAATAATCCTTAAAACAACATAGATATGGAGGAAAATAAGATATAAATGCTGTCCTCTCCCCACTTCTTCTTCAGTTAATATGGACACTGTTTGACTGGCTGGAGCCTCTAAGGGGGAGGTGAATAACATATGCTCCAGAGCCATTTTTCCTCAGCCCAGCCTGGCTTTTTATTCTGTCTCCTTCTTATGGGGGAATGGATGACTTTTCCCTTCACATTCAAATGCTTGTGCTTTTTCTCTAAGTAAAATGTTACCTTGATATCACCCATTTCACAATTGTTCCCTCCTTTTTATTTCCCTCTCCAACCTCCAGTTCTCTCTCCCCATTTTCACTTCAGGTTGGATTTTTCTGCTTCAACGTCCAACATCGTATAACTAATTTCAGAGCACTAGAGAGATTGTTATGGTTTTGCCTGACAAACTGGAAAGATACAAGATAGTGACTGTAAAGAAATAGGGGAGAACAACACACCACATTTGAAATCTGTTTTGAGAGAGTGGATATTGCCTCCAAACCATCCCAGTATCTGAGAAATGACAAGACTGTGCACCAGAGGTAAGAGCTGCTGATAAATCTTGCTGCCGCAATAACAGAGACGTCTTGGAAATACCATGCTGTGGACTGTCTGTGTTCAGCTAACTGCTCTGTTTCCAAGACCTGGGTAATTCTGCCCAGCTTTTACATGGAAGCTGCAACTTCTTCACATATGAGAATTTAGGGAAGTGGCAGGGGATATATTAGCTATTTCCAAACATTTCTGGTGAGATAAATATACATAATGTTTCAAAATATGCACTCTATTCAAAACAGCTACATTTCTGCAATTGTGAACCTACCATAAATGACACTCTTACCACTTGAATGAGAGGCACATAAGAGTTTCATTACTGCTATGTGTCTCCCCCAAATGCACAAAAATCCCGAGCCCCAATCATTCACAAGCACAGAACATAGAATGCATTAAGTTGCAGGTCACCATCTTGCGAAGGACTGAGGCCAGTGGCTGTTTGTGTGCTGGGAGCGGCAGCGTAGAAAGAGAGATTAGCTTCAGACATACAGATGCTAGCCTGCCTGGCTGGGAGGACAAACAAGGTTGAATACCACACCAATAATAAGATATATAACCGCATCTGTGTATCTGAAGCCAGGGGAAGTTTGTTCTGTTTCATGATCACAACAACAATAATATTTATTATGGTCCATAGAGCCATCAGTAAACAAACAGTAATTTTGAATTCTCCCATCTCAGGAGAAGATCATTATACAAGACACATCTACATGGTTTCAAGTAATACTCCTATCAGAGATTAGTTGCTTCCTCAGCCTTGTTGCCACTATGAGGAATTTTGCCACAATGAGAGTCACATTGTGGCACTTGTCCTTTAAAAGAGATTTAACAATGCTGGTCATGCGGGACAGGATTGGATATAACAGCTGGCTACGTTGTGCTGTGTAATAGCGGCACTGCAAGAGGTTAGATCTGCCCCCTCCCTCCTGACGTTCAGGAAATCGCTAAAAACCTGGCTCTGGAAGATGGCATTCGAGGACTGAACCTAGGACTTTCCCTATGATGAATTATGATGAACTGTGACTACAAACATGACTATGACTATGACTGGATTGACGATTTGGCGTAGGAAATTGTAATGATGTAATGATGATGTTTTTATTGTACTATGTTGTACTATTTTAATATGTAATGATTTGTTCTTGTTGTTCTTTTATATGATTGTATTTTATATGTGCTGTAAACCGACCTGAGTCCTTCGTCGAGGTTGAGAAGGCCGGTATAGAAAACCTCTAAATAAATAAAATAAAATGTATTGTGTTGTTTCTATTTCATTTCCTCCACAGGGTCATAGTCTTTGGGAGGAAGGAAATCCAGACAGTCTGCCTCTTAGCAGCTCTGAGGGAAATACGTTGAATCTCGCCTTTGTAAAGAGACCAGTTCTGGCAAGGGTGTGTGGTATGCTTGGACTTGACTCCAGTTATGGAAGCCTTCCCACTGGAGTCCGAATTGGTGGTAATGTTGGAGTTGCTCAGGCACCAATTCAATACATTATTCTTCACGAAGGTTTGGGCGTCTAATTGGTTTTACCAAAACCCTTCCATGTACCTGGTTTTAGTGCTTTTTAAAATATTGTAATTCTATTAAAATGTCTAAATATGTTCTAAGTTTTAAAACCATTTTCATCCTTTGCATCCTTTCCCTTTGTTTTCTCAGTTGTCCTGGATGTCCTTCCCAGATCGCTATAGGGAGAGTGGAATAGTGAAAGGTCCAGGAATTCATCACACAGACCTTAACCATGAAGAAAGTAAAACACGAAAGCCACAGTCCCACCTGAGGCCCTAAGAAAGGTCAAAAGGTAGGTTTACTTCAAGAGGAGAAGCTGTAATAGTTCCTAAAACATGCCACCTTGAAATAGCAAATCAGCTGAGAGAAAAGGAAGGGAGATTGTTCTCTGTATCAGAAAGACTAAGGGACCCACATATTACTAATATGTCATCCATTTCTACCATAAGCCCTGCCTTGAGGAACCTCAGTGATTCGGATGATTTTGGAAATTACTTCCCCCCGAGAGCTGCTGATTGGGATCCTGCATTTTGAAATAGAAATCCCCATCCATGAGGGAGCCTTACCAAGAGAGTCCACCATCCCACGGATCTCCTCCATGATCTGCCCGTGCAAGGCTTTCTGACCAGGATTCAGGAGAGCCCACTCCTCCGGGGAGAAATATAAAGCCACATCCTCAAAGGCGATTGGGCCCTGGTGGAAAAAGAACACATTTCCTTCTCACATATAGGAAATCAAGAAAAATATGTACAAAAATCTCTTGGAAATGATTTAGGTCTCTGTTGGTTCAATCTTTCCTTTTTCAACATATGTTTGATTATTAAGCCTGGAAGAAAGGACCCCCAAGCAGTCCCATTCCTCCTCTCCCAGGAATCCTTCTGCTAACCTGCTTCAGTTCCACTCCATCACAAAGCGGAAGAAGCGACTGAGGATTCGGCAATGACATCATTCCAGCCCCTGAGAAAGAGAGAGACCAAGGGGTGGAAAGCTGAACACATAAACATGTCTCAGAGGTTACACAGAATCATAGAATTGGAAGAGACCTCATGGGCCATCCAGTCCAACCCCCTGCCAAGAAGCAGGAATATTGCATTAAAAGCATCCCTGACCGATGGCCATCCAGCCTCTGTTTAAAGGCCTCCAAAGAAGGAGCCTGCACCACACTCCGGGGCAGAGAGTTCCACTGCTGAACAGCTCTCAATTAGGGTCCTGAAAAGAATCCTATAAGGAAATGACCCTATAAACACAGGAGCATTCTCCAGGCCAGGAAGATGTAAAGTTTTGGAGTTTAGGCCATTTAATCTCAAGCAGTCCTTTAAGAAGCTTGGATTGAAACTAGTACTGGGCTTGATAGTTCCAATTGACTAAAGTAGTTCCAATTAACTTCTGCAACCAAATCATACCTATATACTAGTTTCAAACTGAAATGATCCTACAGCTATGCCTTCTCTGGCTCAAACTGATTGTGGCTGTGCTACAATCCCCTGAAGACCAATTTGCATGGACATAAAACACCAAAACTCCCAGAAGGGTTCCTCCTTACCCTGCAAGGCTGCAGCCCCATCTCCTTCCTGCTTGAGTTCCTTCTGCTGGAGGCTCTGGGTGGTGCCTGAGTGAGATCTTTCGGATTCAGGGACATCCGGCTGGACTGCAATACAGATATTTTGGGCCTGGAAGAGCAGAGAGTATTATGGAATATGGAGAAAGATCAGGGTCATTAAAATTGAGCAGAGCAGCAACTGAGCTCACAGTGGATCTGGAGGTGAAAGCAGGAGGGGCAGAGCAGGGGAGGAAAGAGGCCGAGGGAGCAGAGTCCGGCTTCTCCCTCACATCGGTCCCACCTTGGAAGGAAGGCAGGAGGTACACTTAATCTCTCCATCTGTCGCAAGGTGAGTGAACCCAAGAGAGGCAATGCTCTCACCTGTCCTTCCTGCTTCTCGTCCTCTGCCCGACTCAGGAGGAAGCCTTCCGCCAGGGCCACCGCCTGGGAAGAGGTCTCTGCCCCACACTCTCGGACCCAGCTCCCCATCTCTGGGGGCAGGATGCTCAGGAACTTTGGAAATCCAGATGACAAACAGAAACTCTGCATTATTTAAACAGTTATAGGGGGAAAAGAGGAGCCAGAGAGGCAGGTGAGTGGGTGGGCAGGGGAAGGGGAAAGCCCTGGGCCCCTTTCTCTCTCTCTGCCTGCCTCTCCCTCCTCCCAAGGATCCCCCGGTTGGAGAACCTGGTGACCCCCACTCCCACCTTAGTCCAGGCCTGGTCCAACTCCTGGCCCTCCCTCCAGGCTTCAGTCCCTTTGGCCCATTGGAGAAGAAGGTCTGGGAAGAAGCCTCACCGGAAGGAGAGGAAGGAGGAGGCGGAAGAGGTCAAAGGGGGAATCTCTTCTCTCCCAGCCAGGCAAGGAAGAGTGGAGTGGTGGGAGTTTGGTTACTAGAGGGGCAGGGAAGGCGGGTCTGGGGAGGCCATTTCCTTCCTGCCTCTCTGGGCACCACACTCCCTCTCCTTAACTCTTCCTTGCCCATTGTGACACTGGAAGGAGGGGGAAAGAGCATCTCTCCAAAGCCCTGGAACCAAAGGACTGAAGATGAAGGCAGAGATAGAGTCATAGAGGAAAAAAATCCCTATTCATAGGATAGTTAGTTAGATGTATTCTCCTCCTGCCAAAACCTTGCTCCCCAACCCCACTGAACATTAAGGGGAACCCATGAGTCCAGAGAGCAGAGCAGAGCCTCCATCTACACAACAGAGAAAGGAGGTCTCAGCCCCGGGGTGAAGGCCCAGGGCTCCCTTTTCCCAAGGAGGAGGAGGACAGGCTTGGGTGGGAGAGACAACAATAGAGATTTAAAGATGGGCTGAAAGCCAACCTCAAAAACTGTGGCATAGACACCGAGAACTGGGAAGCCCTGGCCCTTGAGGGTTCTACTTGGAGGTCGGCTGTGACCAGCAGTGCTGCGGAATTCAAAGAGGCACGAATGGAGGATGAAAGAAAGAAAGAAACGTGGCAAGAGGAAAGTGCGTCAAGCCAACCCTGACTGGGACCGCCTTCTGTCTGGAAACCGATGCTCTCACTGCAGGAGAACTCACTACCTCTGAGGATGCTTGCCACTGATGCAGGCGAAATGTCAGGAGAGACTTTGGAACACCCTCCCCAAAGATCTCAGACAGGCCCCTACATTGGCAGTCTTCAGAAAGAATTTGAAAACCTGGCTGTTCCGATGTGCCTTTTCAGATTAGGAACCTCCAATACCAAGTCCTAGAAGCACTTTAGTAGAACCAAGATCACTGCACACTGCACTTATTCTATAATCCTACATTCCTCCCGCCACATCAGCACTTTTAATCCTGTACTCCTACTCTGGCCGGCCCAGTTTTAATAGTGTCTTGTTGTATTGTTACTGTTATTGTTTTTCTGCTTAACTGTTTTTAATTTGCTTTAGGTATTGTATTGTTGTATTGTGTTTTGGGGCTTCGGCCTGTGTAAACCGCATCGAATCCTTCGGGAGATGCTAGCGGGGTACAAATAAAGTTATAATAATAATAATAATGCCTCTAGAACATGGCCATATTGCTCCAAGGAGGAGGAGAACAGACTTGGGTGGGAGAGACAACCAAAGCACCCTTCGCAAGCAGGCTCTTCCTTGCCCACGGCCTTTGAGGAATCCCTCGCTGCAATGGTGGCTCTCCAAAGCGGCCCTCTGCCAAGGGAGGGAAGCTTCATTCACAATGTACGGTATATACTCGAGTATAAGCTGACCCAAATAGAAGACGAGACATCTAATTTTACCACAAAAAATCGGGAAAACGTATTGAGCCGAGTAGAAGCCGAAAGTGGGAAATGCAGAAGCTACTGGTCAACTTCAAAAATAAAAAAAAAATAGACACCAATAAAATTATATTGAGGCATCGGTAGAGTAAATGGTTTTGAATATTTACATAAAACTGTAATTCAAGATAAGACTGTCCAACTCCGATTAAATCATCATTGTGGAGGCGAGAAGAGTGCGGCTTCTCTGAAGCTTGCGATTCTGGGGCAGAGACAACCTCAAACCATTGGACACTTCAGAAATGCAGAATGGAACTGAAAGAACACCAATGAGAATGATTAATTATTAATTATTGTTTATCATTGCCCAGTGGTACATTGAGTTAAACCACTAAGCTGCTAAACTTGCTGATCAAAAGGTCACAGGATCGAATCCGGGGAGAGGCATGAGCTCCCGGTGTTAGCCCCAACTTCTGCCAGCCTACCAGTTTGACAACATGCAAATGTGACTAGATCAATATGTTTCACTCCGGCAGGAAGGTAACGGTGCTCCATGCAGTCATGCCGGCCAGATGGCTTAGAGGTGTCTATGGACAATGCCGGCTCTTTGGCTTAGAAACGGAGATGAGCACCAACCCGCAGAGTCGGACACGACTGGACTTAATTTCAGGGAAAGCCTTTATCTTTACCTTAATCATTGTTAATACTTTCTCCAAGTCAGGGACTCCAGGTTTACAGGAGATAAAATTGATACAGCTTTTTTTTAGACATTATGCAAAAGTTTAATATTAAAGTAAAATAAAATACAGGCCATTGGAAGGAAGAACAGCAAATATAGAAAAAAAAAGAACATGGAAGGTCTCAACAGAAGGTCTTTGTTCCTGTCCAATCACCCCCAAAGGCCTGAGGAAACAAAAGGATCTTCACTTGCCAACAAAAAGATAGCAAATTGTAGTTCCCCATTTTCAGCCCATAAGAGGGATATTGTCTGTCTGTCCGTCCATCCATTCCTTTCTCATTTAAATGCAATCTATTATATACTGTGGTTTCACATATTGTCAGGAGATAAATTCCCACCTTTTATGAGCAAAGCTTGAGATTTTATTGTCTAAGTCAAAAATATAGGTGATGAACAAGCACTTCCATTATTTTTTTCTGACTTGAATTAGAATACAATGGAGTTTTCAATTTGAAGTTCTGTCTGCTGCCATTATTTATTTAATAGGACACAGTTTGCTCACGAAGTAGTATCCTTGATCACACAGCAACTGCTATAAAACAAAAAGCCTTTGTTTAACCTTCATAAAAGAGCTGCATTGCCTCATTGCCCTCAAAGTCATGTTCGATTTGCCTGAACACATAACATGGAATAACTATTCTGCCGTAGTCCGACCACACCTGGAATACCGAGTCCAGTTCTGGGCACCGCAACTGAAGGGAGATGTCGAGAAACTGGAATGTGTCCAGAGGAGGGGGACGGAAATGATCGAGGGTCTGGAGAAGAAGTCTCCCTTTCTCTTTTTTCCTGTTCACAACCCTTTCTCTTCCTCTTGACGTGCACACGAACCTCTCTGCTTTCTGCTGGGTTGCTGTGTGGAGAGCAGAGAGGGTGCATCCATGGCAAGGGAAGGGGGGTGCGTGTACTGCCGAAAGGGGTGGTGCACGTGCCCCCTCCTTTACTTCCTCTTGCCGGGCATCTGTTCTTTGCACAGCAACCCTGCTGGAGGGCGCATGAATTTTGATAGGTGGAAGGAGGTGTGCTCCTCCCTCTATGTTATTGCCGCGTGCGTACACACCTCCCTTTCTCCTTCTGCCGCACGCACGGTAACCTTTCCAAGGCGGCTTTTATACTACGTGGGGGTGAAATGGGAAATACATATCAAAGGAGCAGCAGAGTTGCTAATTGCCTGGAAAGGCACCCTGTGTGCGGCAAGAAGTGAAGGTCCTGGCGGAAAGACATGGGGATTAAAGAAGGGCTTTTTTCAGCCCCACGCCTTCCCGCCAGGACCCCCACCCGAATATGACGAGGGGAGCTTTTTCACCCTTAAAAAAGGGCTGAAACACTTGACTTATACTTGCAGATATACGGTGTGGTTTTTTAAAAATAAGTAATATTTTTAACCCTCTGAAGGATTGTTACAAGGAGCTGGCTTTCTGCTGCTCCAAGAACAGGACCCCACCTTAGGGATTTAAAGGCAAGAAAGGGAACTCTACCAAATCTTAGGCAGAACTTCTCAAAGGGTTGTGTTTGAAATCCGATGTTTACTCACAAAGGCTGACCAGGGAAAAGACAGTCCAGTCCCAAAAGCATTCTCCGTAACGGTCCCAAGTCAAACAAAGCTAAATAAGTCAAGCCAAATCTTTACTTAAAGATTTTATTAGTTTTGTCCCAGCTCTTTGGATGATTTCTCTCCTGTACATAGTCTCTTATGGTTCAAAAAGTATGAAGCCCAATATAAACATTTCCCACGTACCTGACATTTGTTTGTTTTTTTAAACTGTGTGAAGTAGGTGGTGCTTTATAAGGGATGAAATGTGAGTAAAGTATTACCCACAATCCATGCATCTGTGTGACGTTCTCATGTGTGAACTTTCTTGTGGCCCACAAGGGCTGAACTTCGAGCAAAACATTTACCACACTCCAGGCATTTGTATAGTTTCTCTCCAGTGTGGAGTCTTTTGTGCCTCACCAAGTGTGAACTCTGAGCAAAACATTTCCCACACTCCAGGCATTTGTATGGCTTTTCTCCAGTGTGGAGTCTTTTGTGCTTCACTAAGGCCGAACTCACAGCAAAACATTTCCCACACTCCTGGCATTGGTATGGCTTCTCTCCTGTGTGGACTCTTTTGTGCTTCACTAAGGCCGAACTCACAGCAAAACATTTCCCACACTCCTGGCATTGGTATGGCTTCTCTCCTGTGTGGACTCTTTTGTGCTTCACTAAGGCCGAACTCACAGCAAAACATTTCCCACACTCCTTGCATTGGTATGGCTTCTCTCCTGTGTGGACTCTTTTGTGCTTCACCAAGTATGAGCTCACAGCAAAACATTTACCACACTCCTGGCATTGGTATGGCTTCTCTCCTGTGTGGAGTCTTTTGTGGCTCACCAAGGTTGAACTGTCAGCAAAACGTTTCCCACACTCCAGGCATTGGTATGGCTTCTCTCCTGTGTGGAGTCTTTTGTGCTTCACCAAGCCTGAACTGTAAGCAAAACATTTCCCACACTCCTGGCATTTGTATGGCTTCTCTCCTGTGTGGAGTCTTTTGTGGCTCACCAAGGCTGAAATGTCAGCAAAACATTTCCCACACTCCTGGCATTGGTATGGTTTCTCTCCTGTGTGGAGTCTTTTGTGCTTCACCAAGCCTGAACTGTAAGCAAAACATTTCCCACACTCCTGACATTGGTATTGCTTCTCTGATGTGTGGAGTCTTCTGTGGCTCACCAAGTGTGAACTCTGGATAAAAGATTTCCCACACTTCTGGCTTATGAAATCCTCAGTTCCTTCAAAGATTTCTTCTTGGCTTAGATCTGGCAGTTTGTAATCAACAATACATTTTGCTGATACTTTCCAGTTACAATGGATTTTTCCAGCACTGAGGGTCTTGTGAAGTGTAAGTCCCATATTTTGGGTGAAACACTTCTCACATACATTGCATTTGTAGGGCCTTTCTCTGGCAGAATCTCCATCTCCCCTGTGGGTTTGCTGGTGTCTGGTGTCTCCATTGTGTCCCAAATGCTTCCTGTGTTTGGTGTTCCAGTTATCTGCTGTGAAGAAGGGCAGAAACAGTGTGAGTGATAAGGACTCTAGGGAATTGCTATAAGAAGGAGATCGAAATGATCCTTAAAACAAAATAGAAATGGAAGAAAATAAGATATAAATGCTGCCCTCTCCTCACCCCTTGTGCAGTAAAGATGGACACTGTTTGACTGCCAGGGGCCTCTAAAGGAAAGGTGAATAACATATGCTCCAGAGACTACCTGTTCCTCGGCCCAGCCTGGCTTTTTATTGTCTCCTCCTTTCTAAGGGAATGGATGATTTTTCCTTTCACATTCCAATGCTTGCCTTCTTCTCTAGCTAAATCTTTACCTTGCTACCACTGATTTCACAATCGCTCCCTCCTTTTTATTTCTCTCCCCAACCTCCAGTTCTCTCTTCCCAGGTTCACTTAAGGTTGGATTTTTCTGCTCCAATGTAGAAGGTCCTATAAATTATTTCAAAGTGCTAGAGAGATTGTTACTGTTTTGAATGACAAGGCTGGAAAGATACAAGATAGTGACTGTAAAGAAAAAGGGGAGAGCAATAATGAAGGCAGAGAAGGGAACAAAAGAAAAGGAACGTCTGCAGGACTCGACCAGATATAATGATATCTACGTAACACCACCCTGGAGAGAGTGGATATTGCCTCCTAACCATCCCGGTTTGTGAGGAGTGAGAAGACTGTGCACCAGAGGGAAGAGCTGTTGGTAATCCAAATGCCACAATCACAGAGACTTCTTGGAAATACCATTCTGTGGACTCTCCCTTTGTTCAGCCAATTGCTCTGGTTCCAATACCTGTATAATTCTGCCTGGGTTTTACAGGGGAGCTGCAACTTCTTCACATATGAGAATTTAGAGAACTGGCAGGGGATATATTAACGATTTCCTTACCTTTAGGTTGGAATAAATATACAGAGTGTTTCAAAAAGATGGACTCAATTTGAAATAGCTAGATTTCTGCAATTGTGAATCTGCCATGAATGACACTCTCACCACTTGAAAGAGAAGGGCAAAAAGTTGGATTACTACTATATGGCTCTCCCAGTGCACAAAAAAACCCGAGACCCAATTATTCACAAGAACAGAACATAGAATGCATTATGTTACAGGTCACCATCTTGTGAATGACTGAGGCAGGGGCTGTTTGTGTGCTGGGAGAGGCAGTGTAGAAAAAGGCTAGCCAATCCAGCCAATCTGTTTCCTCCCTCTTATTGCCTATTTCTCTCACACACACTCACATCCCTCCCCCCCCCCCCCCCCCCCCCCCCCCACACACACACACAATGATCGGGGTGATCGCTCTTGATAGATTTTCCAGAGAGCCCAGCTGCGATGATTGCATGTGGTATGCTTGGACTTGACTCCACTTGAGTCAGAATTGGTGTTAATGTTGCAGTTGCTGAGGAACCAAATTAATACATTATTCTTCGTGAAGGTTACAACACGAAAGCCACATTCTCACCTGAGGCCCTAAGAAAGTTCAAAAAGGAGGTATTGGTCATGAGGAGACGCTGTAATAATTTATAAAACATGCCACCTTGAAATAGCAAATCAGCTGAGAGAAAAAGAAGGGAGATTATTCCCTGTATCCGAAAGAGTAAGGGGCTCTTATAGTACTATTATGTCATATTAGTCCTTGGAGTCCTTGTTAGTCCTTGCCTTGGTTAGACCACACCTGGAATATTGTGTCCAATTCTGGGCACCACAATTGAAGAGAGATATTGACAAGCTGGAATGTGTCCAGAGGAGGGCGACTAAAATGATCAAGGGTCTGGAGAACAAGCCTATGAGGAGCGGCTTAAAGAGCTGGGCATGTTTAGCCTGAAGAAGAGAAGGTTGAGAGGAGACATGATGAGAGCCATGTATAAATATGTGAGAGGAAGCCACAGGGAGGAGGGAGCAAGCTTGTTTTCTGCTGCCCTGGAGACTAGAACACAGAACTATGGCTTCAAACTACAAGAAAGGAGATTCCATCTGAACATTGGGAAGAATTTCCTGACTGTGAGAACTGTTCAGCAGTGGAACTCTCTGCCCCGGAGTGTGGTGGAGGCTCCTTATATGGAAGCTTTTAAACAGAGACTGGATGGCCATCTGTCGGGTGTGCTTTGAACACAATTTTCCTGCTTCTTGGCAGGGGGTTGGAATAGATGGCCCATGAGGTCTCTTCCAACTCTTGTGATTCCCTGATTCTATAAGCCCTGCCTTGAGGACCCTCAGTGATTGGGATGATTTCGGAAATTACTTCCACCAGAGAGCTGCTGACTGGGATCCTGAATTTTGAAACAGAAATCCCCATCCATGAGGGAGCCTTACCAAGAGAGTCCACCATCCCACGAATCTCCTCCATGATCTGGACGTGCAAGGCTTTCTGACCAGGATTCAGGAGAGCCCACTCCTCCAAAGAGAAATGGACAGCCACCTCCTCAAAGGCGATTGGGCCCTGGTGGAAAAAGGAAAATAAGGGAAATCTATAAAAATAATTACAAGAATTTTTTGAAATGATTTACATTTATGTCAGTTCAATCTTTCCTTTTTCAATAGATGTTTGATAATTAAGCCTGGAACAAATGACCCCCAGGCAGCTCCCTTCCTCCTCTCCCAGAAATCCTTGTGCTTACCTGATTCAGTTTCATTCCATCACAAAGCGGAAGTACCGACTGAGAATTCAGCAACAACATCGTTCTAGCCTCTAGGATAACAAGGTGCAGAAAGTGATCACATAACTATGTCTCAGAGGTTACAACTACAGTCGTAAAAAGAAACGTATGAGGAAATGGCCCTCTGAACACAGGAACATTCAACAGCCCCGAAATTGTAAAGTTTTGGAGTTTAGGCCATTTCATCTCAAGCAGTGCTTTAAGTAGCTTCGATTGAAACCAGAACTGGGCTTGGTATTTCAATTGACTAATGTTATTTTTGTTGTCTGTTTGTCTTCCAGCTCAGTTTCAAGGCTCATCTTAGCTTCGGGTTTCACCTGGGAACATACTGTACAGCTGATATTTCGGTCCCACCCAACAGTATGCAAATGTAGAAGTAGAACAATAAAGAAAACTCCAAATCACACTGAAATTACACCTTTTGCAACCAAATGCTTACCTATATACTCATCTCAAGACCAAATGATTCTACATGTATACCTTCCCTAGCTCAAACGGATTGTGCATTTGTTACAATCCCCTGAAGGGGAAGTCACAATGGCATAAAATAGCAAAACACCTCAAAAGGTTCCTTCTTACCCTCCAAGGCCACAGCCCCATCTCCTTCCTTCTTGAGTTCCTTCTGCTTGAGGCTCTGGGTGGTGTCTGGCAGAGTTTTCTCTGATTCAGATACATCAGGATGGACTTCAATGCAGTTATTATGGGCCTGGAAGAGCACAGAATATTCCAGAAGTAGTATGGAGAAAATTAAAAAAAATCACAGACTCTGAGCTTCAAACAAATGCCATGCTCCCCTTCCATCATTTTCAATGTGATATCTGAGGCAGAGCAGGTGGGAAAAGAGGCCAAGGGAGCAGGGTCCGACTTATCTGTCACAGGTCCCATCTTGAAAGAAGGCAGGATGTACGTTTAATCTATATATCATTCCCAAGGTGAATGAAGCCAAGAAGCAATGCTCTCACCTGTCCTTCCTGCTTCCTGTCCTCTTCCCGACTCAAGAGGAAGCCTTCCGCTAGGGCCACCGCCTGGGAAGAGGTCTCTGCCCCACACTCTCGGACCCAGCTCCCCATCTCTGGGGGCAGGATGCTCAGGAACTGCTCCAGGATCACCAGGTCCAGCATCTCCGCCTTGGTGTGTTGCTCTGGCTTCAGCCACTGGCGGCAGAGAGAGTGGAGCCGGCTGCAAACCTCTCTGGGTCCCTTGCCCTCTCGGAAGGAGGAATGCCTGGAGTGCTGGCGCTGAATTTGCGCATTCAGGGACATCTGCGTAGTTATTTCCCAGGATTCCCCAATCTTTCTGGGAGCTCTTCCTGCTTCAGGTCCAGGTGAGTTGCTTCTCTCCATGTTGGAACCACTCTCATGGAAGAACCCTACCGTATCCAAGATGCTCTTCCTCAGTCTTCTCTCAAGGGAAAGAAATCCCAGAACAGGCTCGACTCCAAAATTCTGAGCCAAAAGTCACATTTCCTCTGTGAAAGAAAGTCAGAATTAGACAACTGGCTTCGGGAGGTTTTTTCTTTGAGAGTTAAAAAAAAAACCAAATAAACAAACCGCCCGAGCCATTTATTTATTTATTTCAGAGCCAGGTAATGCTGGCCCTGCCTTTCACTGGGTTCTCTGCTTCCCAAGCATCCAGGCCCTCCTGGCCTCCCATTGAGCTCCCATTCAGTCCCAACCCACACTGAATCCCCCCCCCCAATTCCTTCAGCTGATGTCTCGTGATCCATAGCCTTTCTTATAAAGAACCAAGGGGCTTTGAAACAAGAGACAAAAATTAATATAACAACTAAAATAAAATATTTGGAAATCCAGATTGTCATGATAAAATATGCTGTATAGTTTGAGTGAGATTATATGAAAGGCACATGAATGCGGCCCAATGAGCAGAAGATACCATTCTAAGGAATGAGGCCTGGAAAACTACAAGAAAGAGTTGAAGAACTCATGGACAGTAATTAAAAATTGCTGATAAGATCTGTGACAAATGATTAACTGTTGACATTGCTGACTTGATGGACTCTTCTGGGAAAAACCACTTGTTTACATTGCCAAAGACAATGGTACTTTTAAGTAGGAAGTCAACACTGTGGCTCCTTACAGAAATGTTTACAAGGCTCCTTGATAAGGAAAGCCAATTAAACAAAATCAACATCTGTCCAGGAACTGATGGGATCTGTCTGTCAGTAATTTACACCTTCAGGACCACATCAACAGAAAACACGACATAAAAGGCCCCCCCCCCCCCCTCTCTCTGAAAGTGTGTATCAGACCAACTGAGCACCATTTCTGAACATCATCATGAACAGTCTCCTCTCATGAAGCGGATCATCTTCAACAAGAAGAATGGTAAGAACGCTTGATGAATGAATGATGAATGAAGGATTGAATGTTAGAGAAGATGTATAAATGTTGATGCCATATCTCCCTTTGTTTATGTAACCAAGTTAATTCTTCTAAAACCCAGTACTGGCGTCTGTGTCTGCTTCTTTCCATGAAAGTACCGAAGTGTTAAAGCCTTCACTCAGGAAAAAAAAATCCCCTTGAGCATGAAATAAAACTCAGAGAAATCTCTAAATGCTCCGAGGGTGGGAAGAGTTGTGTCCTCAAATCAGATCTCAAAATTGTTATTTTTAAATTGTTTTAAATTGTTTTTAAATGGTGTTAGATTTTAGCCTGTTCTTGTAAGCCGCTCCGAGCCCCAGGGGAGTGGCGGCATATAAATTTGAATAATAAATAAATAAAACTCTCCAGGAGAGAAAGCGTACACACACCAAGAGTGTAGGAAGGCTTCAGTCCTCAGTATGAATGAATGGTTTATTGTACCAGCCATAGGCCGTGACATGACATGACATGATATACAACCTTTAAAACTACAATAAGCATTTTCCAGTTTAAATATTAAAACTTGTTCCGTATACTGGCTCTTTAAAATTATAGTAGTAGTGACACGACAATTACAAATGTCTGATTTGTATCATCCAAAAGTATTTCTATTTCTAGCCTCCGCTGTGGACTTCACTAATTTAGCTCGGATTTTTTTGGGCTGTGACTGCAAATGTGGAAACCTTTTATGTCATATTTTGGGAATAATCTGCTAACAAGTTACAGATAAGAGCTGTCCGTTGCCATGATGCCCTTTCTTCCAAAAGGACCCTCGGAAGATTGTTTCGAGGGTCATTATACAAAGAGCAATGTAACAGATAGTGTATTAAATCCTCTCTTTCCCCGGACCCACAAATACAAAGACGTTGGGCATGAGGGATCCATCTATATCTTCCCTCTAACAAGCCCGATGGCATATTGTTGTTAGGATTATATTGATGTTAATGTTTTTATATTTTTATTATATATTATTATATGCCATTACTGCTCAAGCAGGGAGCTTTGAGATGGTTGAACAGAAGCTCTTCGAAGCTCTAGGTGCTCTTACTGCCTACTACAGGGAAAACCAGCTGATCCCTAATCCATCTAAAATATAGACATGTGCTTTTCATCTCAAGAACAGACAAGCATCCCGAGTTTTGAGGATCACCTGGGAAGGAATCCCACTGGAGCATTGCAGTGCACCCAAATACCTGGGAGTCACTCTGGACCGTGCCCTGACCTACAAGAAGCACTGCCTGAATATCAAGCAAAAAGTGGGTGCTAGAAACAATATCATACGAAAGCTGACTGGCACAACCTGGGGATCACAACCAGACACAGTGAAGACATCCGCCCTTGCGCTATGCTGCTCTGCTGCTGAGTATGCTTGCCCGGTGTGGAACACATCTCACCACGTTAAAACAGTGGATGTGGCTCTTAATGAGACATGCCGCATTATCACAGGGTGTCTGTGCCCTACACCACTGGAGAAACTACACTGTCTAGCCGGTATTGCACCACCTGAAATCTGCCGGGAAGTAGCAACCAATAGTGAAAGGACCAAGGCAGAGACATCTCCAGCTCATCCCTTGTTTGGGTATCAGCCAGCACGTCAACGACTTAAATCTAGAAATAGTTTTCTAAGATCTACAGAGACACTCGCTGGAACACCTCAGCAAGCGAGAGTCCAAAAGTGGCAGGCTCAAACCCAGCACCTCAACCAATGGCTGATACCAAATGAGAGACTCCCTCCTGGGCACACAGAAGACTGGGCGACCTGGAAGGCACTGAACAGACTGCGCTCTGGCACCACGAGATGCAGAGCCAACCTTCAGAAATGGGGCTACGGGGTGGAATCCACAGCATGCGAGTGTGGAGAAGAGCAAACCACTGACCACCTGCTGCAATGCACCCTGAGCCCAGCCACATGCACGATGGAGGACCTTCTTGTGGCAACACCAGAGGCACTCCAAGTGGCCAGATACTGGTCAAAGGACATCTAATCAACTACCAAGCTTGCAAATTTTGTGTTTTGTATGTTTGTTTGTTTTGTTCTGTTAGAAATGTAATACAATTGTCTGGTTGCCTGACACGATAAATAAATAAATAAATAAATAAATAAATAAATAAAAATGTTTTTATATTGTCATTGTGTTTTTTGTGGCATTGAATTTTGCCTTGTAAACTGCCTTGAGTCGTAAGTAAATAAATAATAAATAAATAATGCAACCTGCCTGACTGAAAGAGGAATAAAAGAACCTATTTAATGTTTTGAAAAGTACTTATGACAAGAAGACAAAGAGAAACCCTGAATTATTATTTGAAAACTCAAGGGGGGAAAGGAGGACCCAGGAAGGGAAGTGAGTGGGTGGGGAGGGGAAAGCCCTGGGCCCCTCTCTCTCTGCCTCTCCTCCCTCCTCCCAAGGGTCCCCAGTTGCTCCCTTGTGCTGACCCCCAATATCCCCTCTGTACCAGGCCCCCTACTCCCCATGGGGCCCAAGGCTCAAGGCCAGGCTCCATCTCCTTCCAAGCAGGAGAGCTGAGGAAGGGGTGGTCTCCCTTCTTCTTCTTCTCGGCCAGGGTGTGTGTCTCCCTCCGCCTGGGTCAGGAGGCCAGCCTGGGAGGGAGGGAAGGAGGCCTGGGCCCACTTTGGCCCTCCCTCCAGGTGTGGTGGGCTTCAGCCCCTCTTTGGCCCTTTGGAGAAGGAATGGGAAGGAGACTCACCAGAAGGAGAGGAAGAAAGAGGAAGAGGAAAGAGAGGTCAAAGGGGGAAACTCTTCTCTTCACTCCCAGCCAGGCAAGGAAGAGTGAAAGGGAGGGAGTTTGGTTCCTAGAGGCAGGTCTAAGGAGGCCCACTTCCTTCCTGCCTCTCTGGGAACCACACTCCCTCCCCTTAACCCTTCCCTACACTGGAAGGAGGGGCAAAGAGCCTCTCTCCAAAGCCCTGGAACCAAAGGATGAAAGATGATGTCAGAGATATCATCATGGGAGGAAAAGTCTGTATTCCTAGGATAGTTAGATGTATTCTCCTCCTGCCAAACCCTTGCTCCCCAGCCCCACTGAATATTCAAGGCAATCCATCAGTCCTGGGAGCAGAGCAGAGCCTTCACCCACAACAGAGAAAGCAGGTCTCCTCTTGGGGTCAAGTCCAGCTGCTCCCTTTTCCCAAGGAGGAGGAGGACAGGCTTGCGTGGGAGAGACAACCAAAGCACCCACCACAAGCAGGCTCCTCCTTGCCCACGCGTGGCCTTGGAGGCATCCCCCGCTGCAATGGCTGCTCTCCAAAGCCGCACTCTGCCAAGGCCGGGGAAGCTCCATTCACAGTCCTGTTAGAAGGGTGTCACTGAGTTCCACATTTCCGTCTCGGCGGCTTATACTAGTGGACGCTTCAACGTCCATGCAGAGGCCACCCTGTCAGGAGCAGCTCAGGACTTCATGGCTACCATTGTCACAAAAATTTAATGTGCGGTTTTTATAAGTGTGGATTTAATATATTTATTTATTTAAAGGTTAGTACGAGCACCTTGAAAGTAATCCGGTACTCAATCGGAAGCCAGTGCAGCTGTTGTAGAATTGGAGTGATACAACACCTCGCCGGCACCCCGGTGAGAAGACGAACCGCCGCATTTTGCACCAGCTTCAGTTTCCGGATCACTGACAAAGAAAGGCCAGTGTAGAGGGAGTTACATATCTGAGAATGAATGGAAGGATGTATGGAACTAATAATTTTGGGAACACCAGTAAAAGACCCAGGCCTGCAATGACTACCTACCTGCATGCTGGATTAGAATTAAAAGTTGCCAATGAGAAATGAAAAGTAAACTCCGATAAGAACTGGAACAGTGATAACAGAAATGTTTGCAACATTCCTTATGTTAAGAAGGACATCAACATAAGCCTTGTGTACGTCAACACCAATCAAGAAGAGTCAACATCTGACCACATTTCCGTCTCAGTGGCTTATAGTAGTGGGTGCTTCAACATCCATGCAGAGGCCACCCTGTCGGGAGCAGCTCAGGACTTCATGGCTACCATTGTCACAAAAATTTAATGTGCGGTTTTTATAAGTGTGGATTTAATATGATATTTATTTATTTATTTATTTATTTATTTATTTATTTATTTGACTTGTATACCGCCACTCCCAATTTGGCTCGGAGCGGTTTACAGCAGTAGATTAAAACAACACGACCAACCTTAAAATACAACAAAAACGGAAACAGACATAATCCCAAGTTATTCACCCATCGAAAGCTTGTTGGAAAAGAAAGGTTTTACAGGCTTTCCGAAAAGCAAGTAGCTCTTGGATGGTTCGGGTTTCAACTGGCAAGGCATTCCATAAATAAGGGGCTATAATCGAGAAGGCTCTCTGCCTAGTAGAGGACAGATGATAAGTCCGGATGGAAGGGACTTCAAGCAAATTTTGGTCTTCAGACCGGAGTAATCTCTGGGGTTGGTAGGGGGATAAGCGGGCCCTCAGGTACGCCGGTCCCAGACCATATAAGGCCTTAAAGGTTAGTACGAGCACCTTGAAAGTAATCCGGTACTCAATCGGAAGCCAGTGCAGCTGTTGTAGAATTGGAGTGATACAACACCTCGCCGGCACCCCGGTGAGAAGAGCCGCCGCATTTTGCACCAGCTTCAGTTTCCGGATCACTGACAAAGAAAGGCCAGTGTAGAGGGAGTTACATATCTGAGAATGAATGGAAGGATGTATGGAACTAATAATTTTGGGAACACCAGTAAAAGACCCAGGCCTGCAATGACTACCTACCTGCATGCTGGACTAGAATTAAAAGTTGCCCATGAGAAATGAAAAGTGAACTCTGATAAGAACTGGAACAGTGATAACAGAAATGTTTGCAACATTCCTAATGTTAAGATGGACGTCAACATAAGCCTTGTGTTCGTCAACACCAATCAAGAAGAGTCAACATCTGGCCAGGTGCTTCTCCAAGGAGGGAGAAAAGGATATAATAATGTTTGGGTGCATGAGGACGAATGGATGTACATGTGTGTGAATGTTGAGTGAAAATATAATTCCCCTTTGTCTAGTTGTCAGTCCTCTGTAACTGTAAGTTGTTGTACATCCAATATAGTTGCATAGAATCTGTATGTCTAAATGTTTTCTGTAATTTGATACAGCCTCTCGCACTGGAAATTACAATAATAAGGACATATGCTTCAAAATTACTGAAAAGTCATTCATGACACCATGGCAACCGTGCGGCTGTCCCAAGTGGTTTCTGGCCCAACCCACAGGGCAGGACAAACATTGGACTGGGATTTCTGTCAGGGAAGGAAGGTGGCCGTGTGGAGGAACCGTCTTTATTCCTCTTGCCCTCGACTGACCATCCACTGGCCAGGCTTAGGCTTCCTGCGCCCCTCACCTGCCCAGGGCTGGAGGACCTATTGAAATGCTCCGCCCCAGGAGGCTTGGCCCAGAGTGCCAGGATTTGAAATTGTGGGCTGGCTGGAGAGAGGTGTGTCAGCAGCCGATTGGCTGAGTGTGCCAGGGGCCAGCTTCTGATTGGCTGCTGAGACCAAGAGTTCTAACTGCCATTCTGCCATTTGTTCTCTCTTTGGACAGGGAAGAAAAATGGCTGGCTGCCAACTCTCTTGAAGCCGGATCGTTTTGAGGCTTGAGGCATATTTTAGGACTGATTTCAAAGGGTGGTTTCATTCCTCTGTTCCTTGCCTGAATTCAAAGTGACCAGTGCATACATTGTTACCCTGTATACTTTGCTCTCTTTACTGTTATTTGTTTCACAAGGCTGAGTGACATTTTATTATTCAGCAGGATATTTATTGGTTTAAATACTGAGGTAAAGCTTCTACTTCCTCTGCTTATACACATTTACCAACCCTCACACAGAGGGCTTCCTGGCGGCTCTTGGGGAATTTCCCGCCACCCTGGTCGGTGCTCCTGTCGATGCTCCGCTCAATCGCTGGAATGGTGAGACGGAAAGGGCAAGGGACACCATCGCTCCAGGACGTCCTGTCTCTCATTTATTTATTTATTTATTTATTTTTCAAATTTATATGTCGCCACTCCCCTGGGGCTCGGAGCGGCTTACAAGAAGAGGCTAAAATCTAACACAATTTAAAAACAATTTAAAACAATTTAAAAACAGCAACATCAAAGATCAAAGGCCTGTCTAAACAAATATGTCTTACATGCCCTGCGGGAAGCTGATAAGTCCTGCAAGGCACGGATTTAACAACCTCATCTCAGAGCTAACCCAGCTCTTTGGTTCACTGAGGAGCTGGCAGCGATGAAGCATGACAAGACGAGACGAGAGGCCGTGTGGGGCACATCTCACAGTGAATCAGACCGAACAAGGATATGTGCGTATTTAAGGTCATATTCTGTGGCAGTGGAGGCCACAACAATCTTCCATTACGACCGACATTGCATTCCCGAGGAACTGTCCAGTTGAGCTGTTTCGAGTAGTCAGAAGGTTGTTAAATTCTTTTTCACAAGACCATTCGGCACCTTGATGTAAAGCATTTGCTCGGTTCTTTGCTGATAAAATTGCTCTGATCCGTTTCGACTTGGACCCCATGATTACTGCAGTCTCTAAAGATGTAAAGACCCTTGGAGAGGCGAGGGTGACCACATGCATCCTGGACCCTGCCCATCCTGGCTGGTAAAGCAGGCCAGAGGAGGTTTGGCAGAGTGGGTAGAAGTGGTGGTTAATGCCTCCCTTCAAGAAGGCCAAATTCCAGCCAGCTTAAAAGAAGTTGTTTTAAAACCGCTGTTGAAAAAACCATCACTGGACGCCACTCAATTGAACAACTTGCGGCCAGTTTCCACTCTCCCCTTTTTGGGCAAAGTCTTGGGATGTGTGGTCGCCTCGCAACTCCAGGCGTTCTTGGATGACGCCGATTATCTGGATCCGTCGCAGTCTGGCTTCAGAACTGGTCATGGAACTGAGGCAGCCTTGGTCTCCTTAGTGCAGCGGTTCTCAACCTGGGGGTCGCCTGGCCATTTCAGACAGGTCGCTAGGCCACCTCCATTGGCCCTGCCCCAAGGGCGTGGGACAGGTGAGGGGTCAGTCCTCCACCGAAGGTCTGGCCTCGCGGAAAGCCTGCCTCGCCCTCTCGCCATCCGGCGAGGGCGTGGGGCAGGCGAGGGGTGCTCTGCACAAGGCCTGGCCTCACACAAAGCCCGCCTTGCCTGCCTAGTCCTCTCGCCATCTGGTTGTTTGAGTTAACAATGCTCTCCAGATATAGGTGAACTACATCTCCCCTAAATCACTGTCAATTCCTCCCAAACCCCTCCAGTATTTTTTGTTTGACATGGGAGTTCTTTGTGGAGGTCTCAGTGGTCTGTGGAAGTCTGCGCTGATTCGGTTGACGGTACTGCAAATCCAATAATCTGCTTTCCATACATATTTTTCTGATTAATCATGATGCTTTAATAATGTTGAATTTGCAACAATGAAAACACATCCTTCATATCAGATATTTACAATTTGTAACAGTAGCAAAATTACAGTTATAAAGGAGCAACGAAAATAATTTTATGGTTGGGGGTCACCACAACATAAGGAACCATATTTAGGGGGTCCTGGTATTAGAAAGGTTGAGAACCAGTGCCTTAGTGGATGGTCTATGTAGAGAGCTTGACAGGGAAAGTGTGCCTGTGTTGGTTCTCCTGGATTTTCAGGAGCCTTCAACATTGTAGACCATGGTATCCTTCTGGGACGCCTAGTGGGAATGGGGCTTGGGGGCACTATCCTGCAGAGGCTCTGCTCCTTCTTGGATGATTGCTCTCAGGTGTTGTTGTTGGGACACTTGCTTGGCCTCTCAGCCATTGTCCTG